ACCACACTGCCTGCAAATTTCCCTCCCACCATCAATCATCTTATATATATGTTATGCCTTGGTACCGTACACCTGGATCTGCCGATCCACTTCGGCAATGTAGGCGGTCATGGCCGCCGCCTTTGCCATCCCTTTCTTCCCCTCCCACGCGGCGTGTTTCCGTCTCCCTGTGAAGTCGAGAAGCCCGGGCCTGCGGCCGCAGGATAGGGAGGGGAGTGTCGACGACGTGAGAGTCGATGGGGAAGTTCGTGACCATCCATCCACGGCGGATGGTAGGAAGTTTAGGAGCAGGCTTCGGGTCAGGAGAAGGCACAGCAGATGACGATGGCCCCTGACAGATGCCCGCAGGCCTCCCGCCCCCCGCGAAGGCCATCGGTCCCCCCACCATGACTTACTTGGGGGTGTTGCAATCCCCTACAGTCGCTTGTTTGTAGAGGGCGTAGACAGTGAGTTTCTCCTCGTCGCTGGGCTCCTTTGAGGCGGGTTTCCAGGCGGCAATGCGCTGGGGTGGAAGGAAAAGGAGAAGTGAAGGCCGTGGGACCAACTTTCGCGGGAAAATACGGGCTGAAAACGGTCCTCAAACATAATTCGGGCTGTACGTCTTTACCTCTCTCCATTCTCGGATTTGAGGCCTCCAAACTTCTCCTCTCTCTCCTTTCCTCGTCATTCCCCTTTGCTTCGTTCTCTTTTCTTCTCTACTCGTGTTTCATTTTTTCTCTTTTTTTTGTTTTTCTCGGTTACCGATCATGGCCTTGTATACCCTTTCCCTACGAATATAAACTTATGCTACAAATATACGATACCTTCTACTTACCTTAGCTGCCTCCTCAAACCGCTGCTGAAGGTCTTCACTCATGGCTCTATCCCGGTTGCACGCCTTCTCAATAAAGTGCGAGCTGCTGTGCGGGCGAGGTAGTTACTTATGAAGCACGGGACTTAAACAGACATCGTTGACATTTTGTGGAACAAAACCATTGCCACTGATGCGACGACCGCAAGATTACTTAAGAGGTCTACATGAAGAAGAATCCATGCTTGATTTGTCCCCAGTCATTTCTATTCTGTTCGCGGAAAAAAAACAAACTCTCTTGATGGCAAGCCAGGACGAATACACCACTTAGGAAGGACACGAAGCATTTCAATTTTAACTTGCATCACACGGACCAAAACGAAGCTTCTCCATCAGCGTGGGCGACAGTCCTCCCCTCGAAGGAGCGAGTGTCGGTACCGGACGGACAGCTAGAAAGCTTCCGATAACATTGGTTCGAGGATTGAAAATATGACGCCTTTTGAATGTTCAGTGCATTCGACGTAATGGCACATTTTGGTCCGTAGGACTTGAGATGGGCCTCGGAGAAGATCGGAACGGTTGGGCGTAAGCCGAGACTCGTACATCCGGGTCGCCTAGGGAGGGTCATCGCTTCACTTGCGGGTCACCAATCACAGGTAAGATTTATAAATGGAAGACGCTTGAATAATAAGTGGGCCCTTGTTGGCTGAGACATGGTAATTTGGGGTCTGGAATCGCGGCGAAAGGGAGGGAAAAGGAGAAGGAGAGATGCAAATCAAGGGGAGAGATGGAGGAAGGGGGTCGTCGCTCATTTTCGTGCCCTTGCCGTCCTGTTTCGCAGTCATTTGGAAGTGCCCTTTTTTGATTAATACCACGCAATTCATTCCAAGCAACGACTCTATATCGATCACTTTACCCAAAAACCATACAACAGGCAGCTATGACGTTGGATTCGAACCAGGATGAGGCATCGGTCGCGGTCGTCGTCCACGACGATGGTGGTGCGGCCGCGGCGGAGGAAGAGGACGAGTTCGAAATGGATGAGGCCGCCACAGAGCAGCAGCAACAAGAGCAGCAGCAATAGGCCATGCCAAAGGGCTGGGAGCCGAGCTGGGATCAGCATTCCAAGTGTGGGAAGTGGTTTGACCCACACGCTCATGAGGAAGTGCAGGGCGGGCCGAAGGGGCAGAAGCCGTCCCCCGTGTGGTACTTCTGCGTGAAGGAGAAGGCAACGGGCCGCCCCTTCTGCCTCATCGACCGCGCCTTCCATGGCAGCAGCTTGCTCTCACATAACGTGCTGGTCCACTTGCGGAAACACAAGGAGTTAGGGGCCATTTTCGGGGCTGGCAGCTGTGGCAACACCAGCAAGAAGAGCAGGTGGGCGAGAGAGGGAATATTCGGGCTCTGCGAGCATTACGGCAAAAATGGGGGCTCCACAACTTCGAGGAACGAGTGGCAGGCGGAAGCGGTCCGCCTGATTGCCGCATTCAGGGCGACGCAAGAACGGTTCGTTGCCTGTGTGACCATCTGGGGTGGGTGACTCGGAGCACTCGAACAAGGACCGATCTCGACAACAATCCACACACATACATACACAAATCATAACACAGGCCCTTCGAGTTCGCGAATAGCAGGCTCTTTAAGATGCTGTGCGATGAGATCTCCGGAGGATAGTTCGTCTTCCCCTCCGTGGAAACCCTGCGCAGGGAGATGGACAAGCTTGCCAACACCACCAAGTCACGCGGGAAGCGAAAGGGCCACCCAACGACCCCTTGGACGACGTCCGCCAACAGCCACCACGGCACGAAGAACGGGGCCAGGGCGGAGCACTACCAGGAGGCGGAGGAGGAGAAAGAGCACGGGCAGGGGTAGAAGGGTGCCGATGGTGAAGCGCCCCCCAGAAAACGTGGGAGCTGAAGGGAGACACGGCGGGCGCAGCATGTTCGAGATTGTAAGGCCCCGGTGGGGGGCGGTGGGGGAGACGGTGTGACCGAGGGCTCGCCCCAACCGACTCATGCATGTGTCATGACGGACCGTCGATCCATCGGCTGGCGTTCATGAACCGAACAGGAGTCAAGTGGACGGGATTTGCGTCTCGGGTTGCCGGTGCCTGCGTCCTCATGTCTCTAACAATGTGGGGGTATCGCGAGGAGCTTCCTAGCGATCCGGGTGGGGAGCGGCAGGTGCTCCTGTTGGAGTACCCGTGGAATTTCCCTACCAAACTGATAGACACGATCCAATGGATTGACATTGCTTACCAAAGAAAACAACAAAACGTTGGGTTTTCATTGCTCCATCGACTTTCACATGCTCGTCCAATCATCTACGAAGGCGTGAACTTTTAAATCGAGTTGGCGGCATTGGTTTCAGCGTCTTACTACCGACTCGTTGAAGAATCCCTTTTCCCGCCCCCACCCCAACTTTCGCCTCGTTTATTGCCGTGTTTTGCACTTAGTGCCAAACCTATTGTCCTTCCGGACCAAAATTTACATTTGGCGTATACATATATATATATATAGATTTATCTATATGTGCGGTACTCCTCTTCCAGTCACGGGCTCGTGCGGCTTTTGCTTTTCGTTCAACTTGGCACCGCACGCTCTCCTTGCAGCCTGGATCGCACGATATGGGCCGCTCTCCTTGCAGCCTGGATATGGGCCGGGCCTCAATCGCTTTCAAGTTCGTCGAAGCGACTCATCAGATAGACCGTCGCCCGTTCCTGTGAGGGAGGTGCAAGCTCAATGACAACATCTCGAGGACCACATCCATTCTCCCCGGGCGCTATCTCGCCCCCTCCCCTCCCCCGCACTCACCATCTCGGTCAACGCTTCCGAAAGGGCATGGATATGGTGCAATTGATCGCCCACTATGTGCGCGAGCTTCTCTATCTGCTGCTGTTGTTTCCGTACCTGTGCCATGAAGATTCCCGTTCATCTGCCACTGTACGAGACCACTCCCAGTTTCCATCCCCACGAACGTCCACCACCCCTCCCTCGACCCCTCCCT